TCCTTTCTTCACTGTGGAGTTGCTGGCAGCAGCCTCTGTGTGAAAGGCTTCAGAAGGAGGAGGGAATGGCGTGGGGCTTCTTAAGACGGGGATTCGCATACTCAGCAGTTTTGAGTTCTGATTTCCTTATAGAGGTCATAGATCTGAAATTCCTTTGTCCAGTCCCTCTGGTGACATTTATAGGACAGTGGTGCAGCTTGTGCATAGGGAACAGAGCAGAGCCAACTGGACCCCCTGGGGGACTGGCCCCCTGGCCTTGGGCTCATTAGCTCATTCTTCAACTAGGGCAGCCAAACCACCACCAATTAAGAGACTGTTTGGCAGCAGAGGCTGGACTCATGTGCAGATGTAGATCAAAGCCAGAGCCTTGGAGCTGCTGGTAGAGCAGGACTCCTCCGCCAGGAAGTTGCTCTCCCATTAGGGAGGTTCTGGCAGCCATTGGAGCTTTTAGGTCTCTGCTTCACATGGGTATTTGACTCACTGTCTCTCCAGAGTGTAGCTTTAGCCAGATGTCAGTGGTTCACCGCTGTAATCCTAGCTGCTCAGGAAGCTCAGACTTCAGGATCCTGGTTCAAAGCCAGTCTAGGCAGGAAAGGCCATGAAGCTCTTATCTCCAATTAGTCACCAAAAAGTGGGAAGTGAACCTGGGGCTCTAGTGGAAGGGTGCTAGCCTTGAGCAAAAAAGCTAAGGGACAGAGCCCAGGTCCTGAGTTCGATACTGCCCCCTTCCCCCGCACCCCCCTCCCAACATAGCTTTTACACCACAATGAAAAATACTTGTCACTTTTTTTGCAGTTACTGAGGATTGAACTCTACCCCTTGAACCATACCCCTAACCCTCCACTTTCATTTAAAAATGTTGAAAAATCTTGCCATACCAGGTGTCTTCAGAAGCTAGATTTTTTTTTTTTTTGGTTCAACATTAGGCTGATGTTCAGCCATGTTCTATGCAGTGGAATTTATTTTTATTAGTCTTGGGATTCCATTTGGGGACTGGGCTAGAATTCATTCCTCTGTTGGTGATGTCTATTCCAAGCTGTGTGTTATAAGTACTACACCGCAAACCGGCCCCTCCTGCCTCTCTCCAGCGTGTGGGGGAGGGATGGCTAGCAAGCCTCAGGGGACCATGACCCACCTCATCCTAGAATTACAGAGTTGCAGGACACTTAGGCAATATCATCTGATGATGTGCAAATGTTTCTGTTCCAACTCCACTGCCACCAACCAGCAGCATGCCAATGATTCCAAAAGGATTTGGTTGCTAGATTTCCAGTCCTTTAGTGATACGGTAGATGTGAAGCTACTTTAATGGAAAACTGGTAGCTCAAAAGGCAGAACAGTACTTAACATGCTTGAGGCGCTAGATTCAGCTCCAGTTCTAGAAGAACCATTTTCCAGACAACTAGAAGAGCCAACTTGTTTTTCACATGTTCACTGGCTATGTCAGGTTTCCTCTTTTTAGACAATAACCCAGCTAGTGTTTTGTCCATTTTTCATGTGTGTGTGTGTGTGTGTGTGTTGGTGCACGCACGTAATCCCAAGTGTTTGGTGATATTGGTATTCAAACCCAAGAATTCATAATTGCTAGGCAGGAGCTCTAACACTTGAGCCATGAACCTTAGCTTTTTTTGCTTTAGTTTTCAGACAAGGTCTTGCTTTTTGTTTGAGCCAGCCTAGAATTACATCTTCCTACCCATGTTCCCTGCCTAGGTGGGGATTATAGGTGTACTACCAAGCCTGGCTTATTATTTAAGATCAGACTTTTGCTTGGGCTGGTCTCAAACTGTAGTTGTCCTAATCTCTGACTCTCAAGTAGCTAGTATTACAAATTTATTGTTCTCAGTATATTAATAGTTCTCATCTTAATGTAATTGATTTTCATTGTTTGTGTTCGCACAAAAATCTTTCCTAGTGTTATATGCTCTGTTGTGGTTGGAAAGTTTTTCTGTTCACATTTAAGTCTTTAATCTCTTTAAGAGACTTGACCTGTTACATGTATGAAGTAATGGTCCAAAATCTTGTTTCTGGACATAGTGGCCAGACTGAGTCTTTGGGAGGCCCTTGTTCTGTGCCCATCTGCAACACCAGTCTCAGACGCCATAGTCTGTCTGTGTGCTGGGTTGCAGTCTCTCTCTGGACTCTGTGCTTACCCACTTTCCATATGGCTTGCTGCCATTTGCTGTCTGAGAAGGCTGGTTCCTCATCTGTGGGTTTTGGGGCCTGATTGGCCTCTTCCTGGTTCTACTGCTTCCCAAATGTTCTGAGAGCTAATTGAAAGGATTACTTCCTTCCATTTCACTTGGGTCATAAAACTAGAAAGTTCCCAAAACTTAGAGATGAGAATTTTATGCTAATGACGTGTTTTCTTCATGCAGTATCTACAAATTGTATTAATACAGACAGGATTTTTAAGACTTGTGTGGCTGGTTGTGCTGTTTTAAATCACAGATTTAAAACATTGAACTTAGACCACTTCCCTGATCAGTAAGTAAGACGGGTAATGCTGGCCAGGGAAAGCCACAGGAGACTATAATTAGATCTCAGGAAATAATGGTCCCAAAGTATTTTAAGTGCTTGTGATTTTTAGTTAAGATGCAGAGCCAGGCACTGATATGCAAACGGGAAGCTCAGCTGAGACTTATGCAGGAAACTGCACTTGGGGACCAGGGGGTTTCTATGTATACATCCAGCCTGGGAAAGTTCATGTTGTTTATTAAATAATGCAGAGCAAACAAGACAGGACAGCCCAGTGGGGAATAAGGTCGGCAGATATGGCTTTGGGGCTACTCTGCTTCCTGTTCTGAGTCGTACTGACACCCACTGAGAATGCCATTCCCCCATCCAGACTGCAAATTTCCTATTTCCTGTCCCCCTCCCTTGTCACCCCCCTTTCTTCATTCTAGAGCTGCCAAAGGAAAGCAACTGAAACAGATAAAGACAGTAAGTTTGTTGCAGAGCCCAGATCCCTCCAAGAAACCCCATCTTCCTGTGCGTGGCTGTGTAGATGATCATAATGTGTTTGGCAGAATTAAACGTGGGCCAGTTTGCTGGACCGGGTCGGTGAGGGCCATACTAGCACATCAGGTCAGTTCTTTTCCTTCTGCTCCTCCAGGGTGGCAGAGAAGGCACTCAGAAGTGCTGAGTAGGGGGAAGAAGCTTTCAAGCTAGTTTTCGAGGACAGCATGGCAGGTGGTAGCTGTGCATGCAGACAGGTGGGGACAAGCAGTCTCTTTAATACCGACAGGATGCTGCAAAGGGACTGGCATCAGAAAGCTCTGTTGGCAGACTTTCTGAATTGGCAGAGGAAGGTGTTGCCAAAGGTTAAGTGACTCATGAGAAACTGGCTGCATCCCTCATCAAACTTTACAGGGTGGCTGCTGTTATGAAAGAATTATAAGAGCCAGAGGACAGAGGGCAGAATTCCTCCACTTCACAGAGGACCCCTCCCCCCCCCCCCCCACTTTACCACACGATGTAAAAATTCCAGTTAACCCGGTGTGAATCTTTCCCAGGGACACAGATTAGCCTAATCCTTCCATATTACTAGTTGGTAATGCACTGGAAACATTGTAGTAAGACTATAACATGAAAGAGAAGGGGGAAGCCAGGGGCCTGTGGCTCACGCCTGCAGTCCTAGCTACTCAGGAGGCTGAGATCTGAGGATCCTGGTTCAAAGCAGCCCAGACAGGAACATCTGTGAAATTTTTTTTTTTTTGGTGAGACTCATCTCCAATGGATCACAGAAAAAGCCAGAAGTGGTGCCATAGCACAAACAAGTGGTAGAGTACTAGCCTTGAGCAAAAGGAGCTTAGGGACAGTGCCCAGGCCCAGAAAAAAAAAGGGGGGGGGGAATGCTGTTATAAAATTCAATGCATGTTGAACAAAATTAAGGAAATTGAGGGGAGGGATGGGGCGAGAATTATGAGAGGAGTGACATGTACTACTTTGTTGAATGGCAACTCCCTGGTAGAACTAAAAGAAAAATAAAAAAATAAAAGAAAATATACAGAGTGACAAAGTCTGGTCTTTGTGTTTTGGACCTGTTTTGAGTTGGGAATCAGCAAAGGCAAATGGCTTTTTTTTTTTTTAAAGAGGTCAACTTTCCAAATTCAAGGCTGTATAGAAATGTGTTTTGAGATTACTGATTAACTACATTAGGGGCTTCCAATAGGTCGCTAACTTGCTGATGTGAGGAAAAGAGTTGTTTGGTTGGTGTCTACGTGAACCTGAATCACAATGCACGAACCTGGACATGCATCGTTAAGCATCAATCTGTCTTTCCACACCCCCAGTCTCGCAGGCCTGTTGGCCTAGAGGCCACTGTCCACAGTGCTCCTCTAGGTTCATGAAAGGTCTTTTTACTTTTTGTAGTACTGGGATTTAAACTCAGGGCCTGCCACTTGCTAGGCAAATGCTCTACTACTGGAACCACACCCCAAACCGTTTTTGCTTTAGTTATTTTCCAGATAGGATCTCATCTTTGGACCATATCCCTTCTACCTATACTTTCTAAATAGCAATGCTCACAGATACATACCATTATGCCTGACTTTTGTGTTGAAATAGGGTCTAACCTTTGGTCTAGGCTGACTCGAACTTTGATCTTTCCAGTCTCCACCTCCTGAGGATCTAGGATTACAGCCCTGAAGGGTTTGCTTTCAACGCAACTGGATGGGGAGCTGCAAACCTGGTTTCTACCCTACTTTTGATACCTGTTAATTATAGCTGGCAGCTCAGAGGAGGAAGATGGAATACTTTCAAAGGCTAACATTTGTAGAGGGAAACATTTATGGACTATGAACACAAGCACAGAGTACTTGCCGGGGACTCTGCCATTGGAGCTGAATGTAGCAGTTGAGTGCTGGGGCTGCGAGGGAAGGCAGCTGCTGTGCTGAGTGGCCCAGTCTCAGACAGCTCTTAGGGCTTTTTGCAAGTGACAAGCAACAGTTAATTTCAAGAAATTAATGCTATGTAAATACGAAAGACAAAAAGTACAAAAAATTAAATAAAAGGTTTTGCTTTTATTTAAAATAAAATGCATTTATACAATCTTTAAAGCATGGATTATTGTCAATACTGGTAATCACCCCACCCTGGTACCCTTTTGGGCTGTGAGCTAGGAATTTTCTGACTAGCACCAATGCAGACTGTAACAGCAGAACAGACCCAACCGGCCTGTCCAGGCAGGAGCTAAGGACACTGTGGCAAGTCATGACCATAACAAAGTCATTCTTAATTTAGCAGGTATTAAAACTGCATATTATACCTTTTAATGCAAGGATGCTACATTTAAGCCATTTGCTAGTTGTGAATAGTTTAAAAAAACTGTACAATATTATAAAATTTGTGTTTGTACATTAGTTACACAAAATGCATACTTCATAGACCTTTTACTTCATATCATAATGCAGAAACTGCATATTTTAGGCAGACAGTGAATATGCTGGTGAATACTAAAAGTGTTGTAATACAATACGGTGTAAAAATAAAAACATACAATATACACACATGCTTGTTCAAGGACAAATACAAACTAAGCGTAACAGACTAACAGAATTTTCCTTCAAGGTCAAACAATGACATCACTAAAACTCAGGCCTATTTGTAGGCCTTATTTCATGGGGGGCGGGGCAGGGGGAGAGGAGGTGTTAAATGGTTACCAGACGTAGGATATTTTAAAATATGACATCCAACTAAACATACATTAAGACACATGCATTAAACATGATAAATAGACTTCATATAGGTTAAGCCCTGGATAACGTTAGAGTAGATGGCTTCTAACAGCTTGGCTAGCTTAAATCAGTGGCAGCTGGCTCCTGATTTGCCCACTATTTCCATTATCAATTCATGGCCTTAAGGAATGAGCCATTTGCCGCAGTCCACACATACACTGTATCACCATAGCAGATTAACAGTCGTGCTTGTTAGTGCACACAAAACCAGTCTGGTAAGGCAAAAACATTTTTCATGATAAAATGATACATTTCAAGCTTACTTTATTAAGCAGCATATAATAAAAATCAGCTTTGAAGTTAAATATTGTTATGGCCGTGAAGTTCAATTACACAGTATCTTTATTCACACCCAGCCACTGGTAAGTTTGTAGAACATCTCTTCATCTAAACTCTCATTTTGGTCTTTTGCACGTGTTGACAGAAATATGTAGCCACCAATGAATTCATGAACTACTTTGCAATCTACTTCAGTACAAATGAAGGACAATCGGACTTCATCTGCAAACTCTACGGTGACCTGGAATAAGACAAAGAACTGTTAGTCCTGGTGACATTCCACAGGGCTAAGTCCAATGAAGCAACTATGCTGCTGAAGGCCTGCCCTATCACCAAACTCTTGTCAGTCTCCAAATAATCACTCTTCAAAATACTAAACTAATACCTGGTGGCACACACCTTTAATCCTAGCTGCTCAGGAAGCCGAGACCTGGAGAATATAAGTTCAAAGCTATCCTAGGCAGAAAAAGTCTGAGACTCCCATCTTCAATTAACCAGCAAAATGAGAGTCTGGAGGCTTGGCTTAAGTAGTACAATACCAGCTGCAAATGATCAAGAGCCAGGCTCTGAGTTGTAAAAATGCCTTGAAGTTCAAAAGAATAAGGAAAGTGTATCAGCCCTTCCCCCATTCCTTTAGTTCTCAAGTGCTGAAAAGGAAGACAGAATGCAAAGGTTTTAGGTCAGTAAGTTCCCAAGTGATCTCTGGTGATTCAATTAACGAGAGAAAGTCTCTCTTCAAGTCCTGGGAGAAAACCCTATTTCCTGTATTTTATTTAATATTTGCTTCAACATTTAACCTTTATGTAATCATGTTTCAGTGTTTCAGAAATGTTTTACTAAGTAGTAAGAGCTGATACAAAATATTCAATATGCTTCTAAACCAAATACTTAGTAAAGGACTGTTATTCACTAGGTATGGTGGCTCACACCTGTGAGTCCAGCTATTTGGGTTTGTGTTGGCCTATCAATCAATAAGCTGGACAGAGGTAACTCATGGCTGTGACCTCAGCCATTTGGGAGGTTGTGTGTTGTTAGAGGATTCAGGTCCGAGACCGGCCAGGGCAAACACAAGACTCTACATGTAAGAGAATTAATGCAAAAAAGGGCTGAGGGGCACAAGGCCCTGCATTCAAATCTAGTATTAGTAAACAGAGGTAAATGTAACAGGTCTTAAAAGGTAAAGCCAAGAGGGAACTAAGGAGAGAATTCTCAGATGTAAGAATGGCAAAGAAACACAGAGGAAATGCTCACCTTCCCTGGGCATAAAAGAAATGCAAATCAAAACAATGCTGAGATTCCATCTCACCCCAGTTAGATTGGCCAATGTTTTGAATGTGAACAACAAATGCTGGTGGGAGGTAGGGAAAAAGGAACCCTACTGCACTGCTAGTGGGAATGTAAACTCATACAACTGCTCTGGAAATCAGTCTGTAGGTTCCTCAAAAAAACTAAACATAGACCTTCCCCCTGTTCCAGCCATACCACTCCTTGGCATATACCCTGAGCACTATGAACCAGGATATTATAAGGACATCTGCACACCCATGTTCATTGCCGCACTATTCACCATAGTCAAGATATGGAAACAAGCCAGATGTCCCACAATAGAAGGTGCATCCCAAAAATCAGAACCTATATACAATGTAATTTTACACAGCCATTAGGAAGAATAATGTCATTTCCAAGGAAATGAATGGGACTAGAACAAATAATGTTAAGTGAGGTAAGCCAAGATCAGAGAGACAATGGTGCATATTCTCCCTGATATGTGGAAGTTAGATCTAAAACACACTGGGATATGACAAATTACACAAGCCTCTAGATGAGACCAACCGAGGATAGGATAGTCTTAGGAGAGAATCACAAAGTTGCAATATCCAAGCACCTCTTTTTCATGTTATAAAAACAAGTGTAAAAACAAGTGCATATACTGAAATGAACTCCAAAGAAATGGAAACAAAGGACTTTTTCTTAATTTGTTTTTCTATTTTTGATGTTTCCATATTCTTTACCTTATATGTGGTGTATGAACGTGCTTATCTGTGGAAGGGCTGTGGGAGGGCACAAGATTCTGAGGGAAAAGGAATGCACACTGATGAAAGGGAACTATGCAACTTGTGGGTGAAGATGGGAGGCAATGGGAGAGAATGAGGGAACAGATGACATTATATGAAAGGAAATATACTTATTACCTAATGCATGTACATGTAACCCCACTTATATCATCGCTAAAATAACAAGTAAATTAATAAAAAGAAAACAAACAAAAAGATGTGGCCAATATTCTAAGCAAGTTGTTATGGACAGGTGAGTTCAAGTGAGCAATGAATAACCAGCCATAGATTCTGTACATTAAGAAGGAATGATAGGGCTGGGAAGGTGGCTCAGTGGTAGAGCGCTTGCCTTGCATGCATGAGGCCCTGGGTTCGATTCCTCAGTACCACATAAGCAAAAAGCCGGAAGTGGAATTGTGGCTCAAGTGGTAGAGCACTAGCCTTGAGCTGAAGAGCTGAGGGACAGTGTCCAGGCCCAGAGGTCAGGCCCACAACTGGACCCCAAAAAAAAAAAAAAGGAATGATAAAAACTGTTTTCTTACTTTTATGGAAACGCCTATATTCAGGTAACCTTGTACTGGCTTACCATTTTGATCTCCCAGTTTACATTCCACTGTTTCATGTTGCTAAACCGCCACGTCTTAATGGCATCACCTGTGCTGGCATCCATCCGAATTAATCTGTTGTATGCGATTCCAATCAGTTCTTCTTTTTTGCCTCCTTGAAACCTATTACATTATGGAGGGGGAAAAAAAACACACACACACACAAAATTACAACTCCTGGGGGCTATTTTTCTCCTGGTCTATTTTTCTTCAAGATAGGTACTCTTAAACCTAAGGAAAGCATTAGTTTTGTGTAAAAACAAGTGCAATCATTTTGAATGTTTATCAAAACTGAAGGTATACAAAAATGCATTCATCACCTCTGGCAGTTACTGCGAAATGGGTTAGTGTGGTGATGGCTCTACTGTCAATGCTCCTGTCTGATGCTCAGCAGTGATGACATGAACACTGACCTTGCAATGAAGTGTGTGATGCCGAATTCCGGCAGCGACTGCCATGCCTGAATGAATCTCATTTTGGCTTCGATCAGACTCATCTGAGCCACATTCTGATGGGCCTCCAAGATTCTTGCTGTTATCTAAACATGATCAAACATCCATACCATTAGACAGCATTGCTTCATGTTAATCAAGACAGTAATATACACAGACTGAGACAAACTCCAAAGATATGAAAACAAAGGACTTTTCCGTAATTTGTTTTTTCTTTTTCTGAGGATCAAAAGATCAAAAGACTGGATTATACATGCCACCACAAGAACATGAAAGAGCTGGGATTAGGAAATACAACTACATTTGGAGATTTTTAATAAGGTGAAGCACTTTTTCAAAATAAGTACTTAACTGTCACACGAGACATAGTCCAGCACACACATATGATAAGCTACTGTAGAATGGTATATTCCAATCTGTATGTACATGATGAATTTAAATTTAACAAGTTGGAATGAGTGTCTGGAATACAAATTTCTAGCAGCAATACTTGTTATTAGTTTTAAAATATTTGAAATCACCCATTAATTTTTAGGGATTGTGTGTGTGTGTGTGCATGCACATGTGCGTGCATTGCTAGGGATCCAATCCAGGGCCTTCTACAGATAAAACAAGTCAGTTACCCCCATCATCTCTATTTTTAGACATTTCTGTAGTAGTCATCAATGCTCTAACCCCCTTTTTAAATTGTATCTACTATGGGATGACTATTCCTACCAGGAGGGAAAGCTATGGCTTTTAAATTTTTAATTAAAAAAAATTTTTTTTTTGTTAAATATGGAGAACTTACCAAATCTCTTATATAGCCTGGCTGCAGATGGCAATGCGAGGAAAGAAAAAGGAAGCGGAAAGAAAAAAAAAAAAAAAGAGGCAGTCAGAAAAAAATGGCAATGAAGCGAAGAAAAAGCTGCGGCAACCTGCAAACCAAAATTCCAGCCAAAACCATGCAAAACGGCTTCAGGTAGACACAGGCAAAGTAAATGCAAGAATGGAAATGAAAACCAGGAAGCAACAATTACTTTCCACCTAGAATACCGAGGGGCACTCCACACTGAGATGTTAAACGTTACCGAAATCCCGGCTACAAGTGTGTAGAAGAAAATAAAAGCACAAATAAATACCTCCTCGCCCTCCTGCACCAGTCCTTACTTGTTAGGAAAGACTGTTTTAGTAGCAAAGTGAAAAATCATATTCAAAGGCTTTGAAGTCAAGTCTATGATACATGCGCTACTTTCTAGAAAGGAAGCTGAAGGCTAAGGTCAGTGCGCTGCCCATGTGGCTTCATTACTACAAGGAAAGCAAGCCCCCAATTACCATCTGTTTTTTGCATCCTTTCTCCTGGAAGGGAAAGATAAAGAGATGCCATACGCTACCCTAGGAATTATGGCTAGACACATATTAGTTTTATCAGAGAGACATCTACCCAGGCTGACTCTTTAATATTAAAAATTGCATTTTGAATCATTCATTAAAAAAAAAAAAACCACCTCAGTTAATACATGTGCAGCGTGGGGAAACTAAAGTTGGTTAACTATGGCAATGACTATACTGATGGCCCCACAGAAATCCTGTGCTTGTGCCTGGCAGACATGAATGACCCTGTAGTTGGGGTATGGGGTTCGGCTTACACCAGAAAGGTCTGCCAGTTATGTCAGATGACTCATATGCCATCTGACCCATCACAGCTACTACACGTCTGCCTTGTAGGGCACCCACAAGGCACCAGGGTAGTCGTTCATGGTTCCTAACTTCTGGGAATGACCTGTATGTCTAGTTAAGAGAAAGGAGGATTAGAACAGAATGTGCATTTGGTAAGATCCAGGGTAGAACACGGCACAGACTCCACACGCACTGCTCTCCTGGTATTATAGACAGCAACAGTGTTTCTGACTTTAAGAGAATTTTCATCTCACACGCCTGTCTAGACTTCCTTTTTTGTAGAATATCATTTCCTGACACCTGAGAGTGAAAGACAAAATCTCTTTTAAGATTTGAAAGTACTTATTTGCCTCTAGAAATAAGTTCATTGGAAACAATGTTCCTTACGAATAAATTTTACATGAAAAACAAGTTAAAAAATGGAATGAGAACTTCCTTTACTTTCCCCTTTTAACAGAACAGTCTGCATTCTATATGGCTCCCAGGGCAGCATTTCTTCCTCGTCCTCCTCCTCTCCACTCCCCAACTCTCCACTGCCACATAAACATTTCCATGTTGCTTATACAACCTTGAAACGTAACACCAAATACTTTCGATTAAAGCATCTCCCCATTCCTGTAGAAGGCTAAATGATTTAGACCCATATAATAAACACTGTATTTAAAGTTAAAGAATTTGGTGTTCTGGTACTTAACAGGCTTTTTCGTGATGTTATAAAATTAATCCTTAACAAAGATAAAACAAAACTAGATAAAAACGAAATATTTATTTTAAAGGTCTTCTCTGCTCCCCTGCCTGAACTGGAGCCTTTCCTTTTTTGGCATGATATTCAGTGCGGAGGATACCGGGGGCACTCCAGCAAAATTCCCCTGGAAGGCTCTTTCATGATGTACTCAAGAACCATTTTCCTGAATAGCAAGCCTTTTATGGCATTCATTTCTAGGGCAAGAATTCTAGAAAGAGTAGACAAGAGCTGTGACTTCAAATTAAAATTTAATCAAACTTTCAAAGTTTGTGTAGGCCCTTCAGGTTCTATTAATATTAAGACAACATTGGAGTATAGACTATTTGTACCAAACTTGGAAAATCCATTCTAACAGCTGGAACAGGTAATAAATATTTGTTGGGAAATGTGGACTGTCTTATATCCCATTTACTTGGTATATATAAAGAATATGAAGTAAGGAACACAAAGCAATTAAAGACCATCTTCATTTCCCTCAATATTTTAAAGACTACTCTGGGGCTGGGAATGTAGCTCAGTGGTAGAGTGTTTGCCTAGCATTCATGAAGCCCTGGGTTTGATTCCTCAGTACCACATAAACAGAAAAAAGCCTGAATGGAGCTGTGGCTCAAGTGGTAGAGCACTAGCCATGAGCCAAAGAAGCTCAGAGACAGTGCCCAGGCCTTGAGTTCAAGCCCCACGACAGGCCAAAAAAAAAAGACTACTCTGTTGACAGTAATTTAGAATAAACAGGCTTGACTATTCCATCTCATTATCTGTTCTATTAAAATTTTTTTCTCTTTTTGAAGTGCTGGTCCTAGGGCTTGAACAGAGGACCTAGTACTGTCCCTGAACTCTACCACTTGAGCCACACTCTACCTCTACCTTTTCAGTGGCTAATTGGAGATGAGAGTCCCATGGACTTTTGTGCCAGGGCTGGTTTCAAATCGTGATCTTCAGCTCTTAGTTCCCTGAGAACTAGGATTACAGGTATAAACCATCAGTGCCCAGCTTGTCTTGATTTTTACAAGGGATGCCTACTAATTTCAATAAGGTGGCAACAGTAAGATTTATTTTTCCTCTTCATAAGTTTTCATCCCATTCCTTAAAGAGCTTGATTTTTTTTTTGCTATCTCAAATGTGAATCTATTATGTTAATGAGATTAACTCTTTTCATTATTTCTTTGATACAATTTTTTTTTTTGGTGGGGGTGGTAGTGGAGGGAAGAAAGACCCTATTTGGGACTGTGCTTCTTTTTTGTTTTAAATAATAGTAAGATTTTTTTTTTTTTGGTTGGTTGTGGGTCTTGAACTCTGGGCCGAGGGGTCCCTCAGCTCTTTGCCCCAAATGAGCGTTCTATCACTAGAGCCACAGCACCACTTCCAGTTTTCTGAGTGGCTTATTGGAAATAAGTCGCATGGCCTTTCTTGCCTGAGCTGGCTTTGAACTGCCATCCTCAGATCTCACCTTTCTGAGTAGCTAGGATTACAGGCGTGAGCCACCGGCATCCAGCTAATAAGATTTAATGACCCAATTTGACCAAAGCCTTTTTTATTTCCTATTTTATATATTATAATCAGGTAATGTGAAATTAAGGCTAAAAACTTTCAATAGGGGCAAAGAAATTCACAGTATACATACAAAACTGTAAAACAAACCAAGAGAGGGCAGTGGCCACAGGGCAATGAAAGTTACCTGCTTGTTCTTATACTTCTTCAGGTAGCGAGGAGACACCAAACATTCAGGGTTGATATCAGTGGTGATCTGCTCTGGTATTAACTGAGGATCTGGGTTTAAATGCTGCATCTTGAGGAAAGAGAGGATATTCTGAACTTCTAAGTTGTAAGAGCTGTCTGCCATGGTCTTGCCTTTCGAGGCCAATCTGCAGGCTGCCATCCAGTGTGCGTACTGTTTTTCCTGCCGAGAAGCAATGAGGGATGAAATGCCATGCTCATGTAAATGTTACCTGGTCACTTTCTGAGCATGATATAGAGGATGATGGACCAACTCAAGCAGGGATCACAGGAAACTAGCATTTACTTTTCTCAGGGAAACTTACATTGTCACAACGAAGCCAGATTTCATTCATGCCCTCTGCTACTGGAATCAGGAGCTTAATGTTAAATTTTTGGCCTGAAATGTTTACATCTGGGGTGACTTCACATCCTGTAATAAATGAGTTAATTTTAAAAGTTCTGAATTTTACTTTTCAAAAATCCCAAACCAATACAAAGCCTCTGTGTGGGACTTGAATATGCTGAATTGAGTCCCAGCCTGGGAGGGCCTCGGCAACATGTGAGAGGCGCTGGCAGACAGCAGCTCTGGCAACACACGGATTTGTGGGCTATAAGAATGCAAACACATGGGCTGGGAATGTGGCTTAGTGGTAGAGTGCTTGCCTAGCATGCATGAAGCCCTGGGTTCAATTCCTCAGTACCACATACACAGAAAAAGCTGGAAGTGGCTCAAGTGGCAGGGCGCTAGCGCAGAGAGAGAGGGGGGGAGAGAGAGGGGAGAGAGACCTCTGAGTACTTTGTGTTTAGATCTCTAAGGGACCTTAATGACAATCCAGCACTCTCATTTTTCAGAGCAAACAAGGAGACCCACACAGGCTACTCTTCAAAACTACAGGCTTGTTTGGTAGCAGTGCAGTGCAGGACCTGGGCTAAGGCCTGTCCTAGTGTCATGGGTCTGATGTGCAGCGCAGGGGAGAGGTAGGGAGAGTCTGAACTCCATGCTGAAGGTGACTTCCCAGCCTCATGGGGGCACGGTTATGACTGTGACAGGGACAGAGAAGATGAGGCCAGAAGACATGCCTAGTGTCTAGGTCAACGGTGGACAGTGTGGGCTACTCCTCAGCAGCTGCAGAGGGACATGGGGACAAAGTTGCAATGGATTCTGAAAGTAACAAATAATGTCAGAGACCAAGGAACAAAGCTCACCTGACTTAACAGACTAATTTCAGAGTTTAAGTAAGTTATTCCAACATATGGGGATAGCAATCCTCGTGCATAACTGTAAAGCAGCCGGTCAGAGGGCAGAATTCATTTGCTGAAATGTACTAAGAAAAATGAAGAATATATTGGGCTGGGAAGGTGGCTCAGTGGTAGAGTGCTTGCCTAGCATGCATGAAGCCCTGGGTTCGATTCCTCAGTATCACATAAACAGAAAAAGCCGGAAGTGGCACTGTGGCTCAAGTGGTAGAGTGCTAGCCTTGAGCAAGAGAAGCTCAGGGACAGTGCCCAGGCCCCGAGTTCAGGACTGGAAAAAAAATAAAAAAATTAAATCAAGAGTTTAGGCTCCAGCTCATGGTTGTAGTGGGGAAAATTCTTTTTGTCTCAAGCATCAGTGGCTGTTTCTGTAAATGTCAGCCCTAGGATGCTTTTCTGGTGTTCAGGAAGCCCAGGAACCCAAGGGGAAAGCCCAACTGTCAAAGTCGGGGGCTTTTCTTTGATACCTAAATAAAAATATTTTTAGTTAGAAAGGCATATTGCTGCTGGGCACGTGGCTCATGCCTGTAATCCTAGCTGCTGAGGAGGCTGAGATCTGAGGATCATGGTTTGAAGCCAGCTGGGTCAGAAAAAGCTGGAAGACAAGGCTCAAATGGTAGGCTGCTAGTCTTGAACACAAAGCAGCTCAGGAACAGCGCTCAGGCCCTGAGTTCAAGCCCCAAGGCTGGAAAAAAAAAAAAAGAAAGAAAAGCATATTGCTTTATCTTCAATACGTATGCACATACAAAATGAATTCAAAGAGAGATTAGCTGGGCCACCAGGAGCAGCTCAGCAGTGGAAAGCCAAGGGAGGTATAACCCCTGCCACCATCAACTGGGCAGACAGGCTGTTATTGCAGCTCTGAGCTTGTCAAGAGACACACCTCACTCCTTTATCCACTGTCTCCAATCCCTGAGGCCAGCATGGAATTTCAGCCTGCAATGTATGTGTCTAATTGGAGTCTCAGTCTCACTGGGAATGAATTTGGAAAATGTTATCTAGCATTTGTCAAAAGGGAAGACACAGAGGAGCTTGGGATAGACACTGAGGAGACAATCTCTGCATCCTCCACCAGGAAAGATGGCATCTAGCATGGAGAAGGCTGTGTGAGCTCCTGAGACACTGTTTCTCAGGGATCACAGACCTGAGAGGAAGTGAGCCACGAGAGACTTCTGTGAGTACTATCAGCATATGTAAGAGACTCACCAACAATCTGCCAGATCAGCTACAGGCTCTGTAAGGAAATCAAGTGAGCAGTGACCTCTAGCTGCAGGAGACCCAGGCCAAGAGAATTCTATCACCAGGTAAAGAAACTGTGAAGAGTCAACAGAAGCCACCAAAATGGGAAATAAAATCATGGCTCCACACTCATGAATAAAAAGAGTAAAGCTAACAGCTTAAGTTCTAACGAGGCTGAAGGAACAAGCCTGCCACTTTTTTTTTTTTGGCCACTGGGGAAAAGATGCCTGCTCCTTAAACATCAGCCCCTAGTTCTCAGCTTTGGAATGAACAAGGTGAAAGGAAACTGTGGTTGGAATCTTGGAGCTTAAGGGGGGCATTCTGGGCTTGCCCCAGGAGCCAGGCTGAGAGCAAAGCAGGGCAGACAAAACCAGGCAGCAAAGGAGAACTTGTCCGAAGCCCCAGGGAGCTAGCTGTCCCATTAGTGAGTCAGGAAAACCAAGAAGCTGAGGACCCTTAGCAGGGCCAGCCCATTACCAGGGAAAGGTGTAGAAGAGGAGATGGCAATAATAGGTGTGAAGATGAGGTGAAACAGGCAGAGCAGCCCCTGTAGGAGGAGGAAAAACCTCAATGTCCTTAACGCTGAAGGTCAGAAAACAGATAACCAGAAACTTACTTGATAAGAAAGAATACTAGGGGCTGGGAAGGTGGCTCAGTGGTAGAGCGCTTGCCTTGCATGCATGAGGCCCTGGGTTCAATTCCTCAGCACCACATAAGCAGAAAAACCCAGAAGTGGAGCTGTGAAGTGGTGAGCACTAGCCTTGAGCTGAAGAGCTGAGGGACAGCGCCCAGGCTACAGGCCCCACAACTGACGAAAGGAAGGAAGGAAGGAAGGAAGGAAGGAAGGAAGGAAGGGAGGGAGGGAGGGAGGGAGGGAGGGAGGGAGGGAGGGAGGGAAAGAAAGAAAGAAAGAAAGAAAGAAAGAAAGAAAGAAAGAAAGAAAGAAAGAAAGAAAGAAAGAAAGAAAATAATACTTCAAAGGGACCACAGCAAAATATTCCTGTGGAATTCAATAAATCTATGGAAAAGAAATACAAAACATAGCTAATATAAAAGTACCCATAGGAGGAAAGAAACTGCTACCTTACCACCACCAACAGTGAAGTTTACCAAGTATGAGACAATTTACATTCCAGACACTCAGGCCTTCCTTACCTCGTAGGTTCATCTGATGAGCAGGTGTGCCACTGGATTCTTCTCTGCTCTTATAGCAAGAAATAGATGTATCTTTGAAAGTGCACCAATACTGCTTGTAACCCTTTAAAGTCAGCTTTTTTGGCCTATGAATCAGATAAAAGGAACAGAAAATCCACTCTGAAGTAACTGCCAATGTTTAGTAGACAAATTTCACAGTGTTAAGTATGAGGCCCAATTTTACACATGCCATAATCAATTCCCTCTGGTAGGATGTACCCTCCCTTCTCAATCACTGAGGAAGATCCCAGTTTACCCAGAAAGGTCAGGAAAGAAAGGTAAACCAACTTGGAAGATTTCTAGGATCTTATTCACTTGAAGGTTCAGGGTTATCTTCAGCACAGCCTATGCTCTGCATGCCTGGCAGTGAAGAAAGATCTGAACTCTAGGATACGTTGTGCCAAACACAAAAGATGGCAGTGTAGCTAGGAAGGTACACGTGGCTGAAAAAGGCAGGCAGTAGTACTTGAAATCTTACCCTTATCTCAGAAATGTTACACATCTAGACCTACTGTATCTTTAGCCACAATAAATGGTTTATTCTAAAAAAAATTATACACTAGAAAAAAGAAAAAAAAGGATACTCTGTATCACCTCTTATTTATTCTGTCCCTTAATACCTTTTTCACACCCACCCACCTAGTCTTGAGGCAAAAGCCTTAGCTTCCTAAGTGCTGGGATTGTAGGTTTTCACCACCATGCCCAGCTTGCTCAGCTCTCTTGTTTTAGCTGGCTACAGCTGGATTGAATGTTTAAAAATCTAGATGGCTATGGTGGTCATTATATAAACTGACCACTAACAAACATAATAATAGCATCTGGAGTTTTGAACAAGTAAACAGCCACTGGTGGTCATAGTGCATGATGTGCCATTGTATTACTACGTTTCAGTATCTCTCTTCATGGTGCAATCTAGGTTTCACAGGCTTTTACTAAAAAAAAACTGTTCACTAGATGAAACAAGGATTACTGTGATTTATTCTAATAAACATGATTATTTCCCATCATTACAATTTAGTTTTCATCTAACTGGTAAACCTCCTTACAGATCCATCTGATAGTCACACTTACTGTAAATTTAAATTGAGAACATGATTATAAAATAGACAGTAATTAACCCTTAATGTTTGGAATCCCACCCCCATTTTGCACTTACTTGAAAACTTTAATATAGTCAGCAAGTTCAGGAATGGAAGTAATGTCACCCTAGGGAAAAAATGATAAAATATTTTTCTTACTTTTTTTAAATTCAAAATTCTAATGTTTCATTTAGTATCTGATATCATGAACTTGCTTATTTAATAAAGAGAAATAAAATAGACTATAAACATTTAAAAGATGAAATCATATTATATGTTTGTGTGAACCATACATTTTCTTGTTACAAATAAGAAACATTTTCAAACAGCATAGAAAGTTGATGAAATTTCAAAGTGAAGACTGGAACTCTAATTTTTTTAAAAAAATTCTTACCATAGCATGTTTATTAATCTGTGGAATCACAACAACACTAAAAATTCAAGTTTAGACAATCAGCATGTAAAATTAGGTAGCTTGTGCACCTAACAATATTCTCCAGAGGCCTTCTATGTCTAATGATGATCAATGGAGAACTAAACAAATCACGAGTCCATGATTTTAGTTACTATTGAATACTTATGTGACTCTTCACATGAACCTTCTGATATCATAGTCAACTAAGAAAATTAATCAAATAGATCTAATCTGGGGGCTGGAAATCAAGCTCAGTGGCAGAACACTTGCCTAGAATATGTGAGGCTGAAGGCTGAATCCCTAGGATACCCTTCCCTCTGAAAAAAAAGTAATTTCAAATGGAGTCATTTGTCTTTATTTTTATTTATTTTTATTTTTTTTGGTAGGTCATGGGGCTTGAACTCTGGGCTTGGGTGCTGTCCCTGCACTCTTCAGCTCAAGGCGAGCACTCTACCGCTTGAGCCTCAGCGCCACTTCCGGTTTTCTAGTGGTTTACTAGAGATAAGAGTCTCACATACTTTCCTGCCCAGGCTGGCTTTGAACCAAGATCCTCCTCAGATCTCAGCCTCCTGAGTAGCTAGGATTAAAGGCGTGAGCCACCGGTGCCCAGCTTGCCTTTATTTAAAAAACAAACAAAAACAAACAAAAAACCAGTCCTACAGCTTGAACTCAGGGCCTGGGCACTGTCCCTGAGCTTCTTTTGTTCAAGGCTAGTGCTCTACCACTTGAGCCACAACTCCAGTTCTAGCTTTTTGATGGTTAATTGGAAGGGTGACATTGTTCCAAAAGAAATGTACTTAATTCCTAACTTATGTAACTGTAACCCCTCTGTATATCACCTTTACCAAAAAAAAAAAAAAAAAAGTCTCAGACTCTTTCTACCTGGGCTGGCTTTGAACCATAATCCTCAGACCTCAGCCTCCTGAGTAGGTAGGATTATAGGTATGAGCCAACAACACCTAGCTTTGCTTTTTTTAAAAATTAGGTGTGGATGCAACTGTGTGCCCTATAGCATTGCTGCCCAAAACATTTTCTCTAATAATGGAATCTTGTCTGATAAAGTAGCTAATGAGACTGAGGTACTAAGTTCTTCATTTTTTTTAGCTACTTGTGGATACTGCTCATATTGGGCAGAACAGTTCAACTAACTGTTCACTCATTAATATCAGAAAAAAATATATTGGTATTGAAGGTTGTAAGTACTCTACCACTTGAACCATGCCTCCAGCCCTTTTTTGCATTGGTTATTTTCAAGAAAAGTTCTCACATTATGAGGCCAACCTGGGCAATGATCCTCTTCTTGTGCTTACTCGTGTCACTGGGGATTACTAGCACGCACCATTGCACCCAGCCACTGTGCTTCCATTGAATCTTAAGAACTTTTATGGGAAGACTGTAGCTCTTAATAGCCCCCAGAAAGCTGCATCTTCAGCAAACTAATTCTGTAGCTTTAAAAATGAACTCAACCCAAATGATCACAAACAAGACCACACTAAAGACCAGCACAACTATGTTTACTGCAGAATTATTTACCTTAGCTAAGATATGGAACCAACCCAGATGCCCCTCAGTAGATGAATGGATCAAGAAAATGTGGTGTGTGTGTGTGTGTGTGTGTCTGTCTGTCTCTCTCTCTCTATATATATATGAATGGAATTTTATGCCTCCATCAGAAAGAATGGCATCGCCTTATTTATTAGGAAATGGAAAGACTTGGAAAAAAATATATAAAGTGAAGTAAGCCAGGCCCAAAGAAACATAGGTCCCATGGTTTCCCTTATTTTCAGTAACTACTATATGTCTGGGACAAGCAGAAAAGGTCAAAAGCTATATACATATCACCAGATAAGATGTTAAGCGAAATGAACCCCAAGATGGGGACACAAGGGATTTTTTCTTTCTTGCTATCGTTTCTAGCATATTTATAATGTACCATGTGATTTTTTTTGTTTGTTTCTTTGTATGTTCCTCCCCCAGGGTATAACCCGTTTTCACTGTATTTGATGTCAGTGCCATGCACCTTGTATATACACTTCTCTAATTTGGGGAGGGGAAGGGAAAAAACAAAATGCTTAAATAGGGATACAGGTTGACCCATTGTAACAATGAGATGTAAATGAGATGTACAAGACACTAAGTTAAAAAAATGAACTTTACAATTTAGGTGGGGGGTGTGTGTAGTTGTGAAGGTGGGAGGGAAGGATGGTAGGGAAAAAACAAAGGAGGAGGCAACAATGCTTGATAAGAAATGTACTCATTACCTTGCTCATGTAACTGTAACCCCTCTGTACGTATTAAAATTAAAAAAAAAAATGAACTCAGTACTTAAGAGACAGTGTGAGAGCTGATTCTCTACTTTTTCTTTCCTTCTTTTTTTTTTTGGTTGGTTGTGGGGCTTGAACTCTGGTTTGGGTGCTATCCCTCAGTTCTTCAGCTCAAGGCAAGCACTCTACCGCTTGAGCTACAATACCACTTCCAGTTTTCTAATGGTTTATTGGAGATTAGAGTCCCATGGACTTTCCTGCCCTGGCTGGCTTTGAACCATGATCCTCAGATCTCAGCCTCCCGAGTAGCTAGGATTACAGGCGTGAGCCACCTGTGCCTGGCTTGCTTCTCTATTTTCTGAAGCAAATCAAATGAAGAAATCACTAAATGGATTTCACCATGACTTGAGTTGCAGGTTTCCTTGCAGAATTGTTTTCCCCCTACCTAGTGTCAGATTGTGCAGTGTCAGGTCTTCAGCACTGGGAGCCACGCCGCTCACAAACACTATCCCTTAAACAATCTTTATGTCCCTTCTCAAAGCATTATGTCTCTCTCACTCCCATAAAAAGGTAAACATCAATTCAAGCTTAATCAACAGGTAAAAGGTTCACCCTACCAAAACTGTTGATGTTTTACCCCCTTCCAAAGTAATCTCCAGGTCTGACAGGGCAGCATCAACTTCATCAACTTCTTTGTCACTGTTATTCAAATGATTCTCTGACGTCATGATTGACAGCTTATTGATATGATACTGAAATCAGAAATGACATTTTATTGAAATGACTTGTAACTATAAAATTTTAAAATGGAATACTGGATGCCTTAAAAAAAAAACAACAAACACAAAACCCAAAAGGGTCTCTTCATGTAGCCCAGGCCAGCCCCAAATCTTCCTGCTTCAGCCTCTCAAGTACTGAGATTACAAGCTTGTACCACCATGATAAATTCATAATTTAGATTAGAGCGCTATCTGGTCTTCCATGAAAGCCTTCAGCTGAGCAGAGATCTTCTTTTCTCCTTTTCTTTTTTCAGTGCCATCATCCCTGTCTAGAACAGGCCTTGGTAAAAATGAATATTGAGTGAATGTGCAGAGCAAGCATAAAGTCTCATAGAGATGTAGGTTCAACATTGATTGCTTTACCTTCTACTATTACTTAGAAGTAGAAAATTAACCTGATTGCCTCAGACTACCTAATAAAAATAAAAAGTAAAACCCTTCTAGAATCTGCATTGATACCAGTGGCTCAGGTTATTCAGATGCAAAAGGTCTAGGTATAGGACTTGCTATAAAATGCAGTTCTGTTTTAAAGGTATGTGGGGAATCTATTTTACATAAGGATGTGGATGTCTCAACAAGAATCCAGAGCATAGGTCATCTCTGAATAACAAACACTAGGATCTTTCACCATACTTGCAAAACTTCTTCCTGGTGGTAGTGGATGATCCTAGCAGCCTTTGGGCAGTCTTTGAAAAGGAGATTTGTACTCCAAAATTCTCTTATGGAATCTGTGGATTCTAAAATGCTCCAGTGGGTTATGCTTTGAGACTACTCATCAATTTCCATTAATTGAAATCTATAACCAACCACTGAGGTCACATCTAGTAGCACACTGACACTCACAGCTGCATAGATAAGACATTCAACAAATACTTTCTGAGTACATATTATGGCCAGGCTCTGCAATATTTTTTTTTTTTGGTCGGTCGTGGGGCTTGAACTCTGGGCCTGGGCGCTGTCCCTCAGCTCTTCACCTCAAGGCGAGTGCTCTACCACTTGAACTACAGCACCACTTCTGGTTTTCTGGTGGTTTATTGGAGATAGGAGTCTCACGGTCTCTCCTGCGGGGGCTGGCTTTGAACTGCGATCCTCAGATCTCAGCCTCCTGAGTAGCTAGGATTACAGGTGTGAGCCACCAGCGCCCGGCTCTGCAATATTTTTTAAATAAAGCACAGAGAAGCTCAGGGACAGTGCCCAGGCTGAGTTTAAGGCCCAGGACCAGCAAAAAAAAAAAAAAAAAAAGAGAGAAAGAAATGAAAAAAGAAAAGAAAACAGTAAAGAAAAGAAAGAAATCTTCATAGTGAAAGCTTTCCCCAAATTTCAGCTCTGTTTCCTGTACTTCTCTCTAAAGACTAAAGAGCATCAACTGGATCTGGACTAGAATCCACCACAGTTGGAGAACACTGGCCAAAGCCTGACTTAGAACTGAGAATTTGAAAAACAAAAATCACAAATACACACTGCTTATGGTTTTATAAAAAAAACAAACAAACTACAAACAACACTGTAAGAAGACATGTAAATTCCAAGTGCTGCATCTTAAATAGAGATGGCAAAGTTGATATTTAGCAATCAATACCAGTTTACTGTTCCATCTAGAAACCAGATCCTATAAACTGTTAACAATAACAAAAACCTTTCCTATGCTTTTGATGGTTTATATGTTAAGATTGTAAATATAAAAGAATTGGCTTCTCTTTCAGAGTTTGCCTTTTCATTTCACTATCCCAACTCATGGCTCCACAGGCAATTCCCCCATTCCAGCTCCCTGGGCTTTTGGGGAGCTAGCTGGTGAACCTCACCAATGAAGAGCTGCCTCATTTCATATGTGAAATTTAAGAAGGATGATGAATCAATCTGGCAGTCATTTCTAAAAATGCTGATTTGAGATTACCACATACTAACGCTATTTTACTAGTGTGTGATAAGTGGGTGTTTTAAAGTAAGTGTTACAGTAATTCTCAAGCAGGTTAAATATGCAAGAATCACAACTAGAAAAACACCGGTTTAATCTAAGGACAACATTAGCTGACCGCTTCTTAACAATTATTATTTTAAAAGCACATTTATATTTTGACTCCTGAAATATTGTCACTTAAAAGACACTCCTTCCCCAGCCATTCATAAAATGATGTGGTAAGGATCACCTTGGAAATCTGACTTTAAATCAAATGAGCATCTTTAAGCTAAGATACATGGGGTACAGTATAACCTTCCCCCATAGAAAACAGAAGAGCAACCAAATGTGCTACTTTTAAATAATACAAGTAATTTAATTTGTGTATTTAACTTTTCAAAAGTACTCACTATCTACATATAAAAGTTATTCTCCAATGTTGCTAGTCACCAAGTTATTATTTTAAAATAACCCCTGCCCTGCACCAACAGGTCCCATCAACTACCTGCAAGGCTGCAAACATCATCATTTCCTCTTCTGTGCATTCAATTTCTTCTAGGAGGATGGCCCACTTGGCCTGCTCATAAAGCTGATTGATTCTGATTGCATCATACTGCAGAGCAAAAGAAACACTTTTGTAATATATTGTCTTTTAGCATTAAAGTTTTCAACTGAATATTTTTTAAAGCTTCACAAGAAAAAAATGAATATATGTATGTTTTTTTTCTGGGATCTGTATTTACTAATATGTATTCAATTTTAAGAAAGATAACTACAGGGTTAGAAATACCTATACATAACCAGATCTAATTTTCATTAAAAATGACATTAAATCATGATAGAAAGTAATTATCCAGTATCAGAAGTAGATTCCAAGGCTATAGCTCAGTAATACAGTGCTCAACTACCATATACAAGGCAATGGATTCAATACCTGAACCATAAAAATTTATTTTCTATGATACAACTACTAAATATAGCTCTACTGTAAGAATTCTTACAATTGTAAATCAGGTGTGATAGTCCATACCTATAATCCCAAGTTCCAGGCCACCCTGAGCTACACTCTGAGCAAGACTATCTCAAATAAACAAAAAAGAAATCAAACTTGCAGGTATGAAAGCAAGGTAGAACTACAGATTGCTTTTTAATAATCTTATTTAGACTTTGACACATACTGACCATATACTGTTATATGGGTGTTTTTTGTTTTTGTTTTTCCTTTTGGTGCCGGTACTTGAGCTTGAATTCAGGGCCTCACCCTCTCACTTGGACTTTTCACTCAAGGGTAGCACTCTACACTTGCACCATGTCTCCATTTGTTTTTTGTTTTTTTTTTTCCTGATTAATTGGAGGTAAGAATCTCATGGACTTTCCTGCCCACGTTTGCTTTGGAACTATAATCTTCAGATCTCAGCCTCTTGAATAGCTAGAATTACAGGTGCAAGCCAGAAGTACACAGCTAAGATTATTCTTTATGGTGTTGTCTAAATAATAATGAAAGCTCAACAGCTTTCTGTAATCTTAGGAAAACTCGGGAGGTAGAGCACAGAACTACAATTTGAGGTCACCCTAGGCAAAAACTTCACAAGATCCCATTTCAACCAATAAAAAGCTAGGCTGGGAAGGTGGCTCAGTGGTAGAGTGCTTGCCTTGCATGCATGAGGCCCTGGGTCTGATTCCTCAGCACCACATGAACAGAAAAAAAAAAAAAAAAGACGGAAGCAGTGCTGTGGCTCCAGTGGTAGAGCACTAGCCTTGAGCTGAAGAGCTGAGGGACAGCACTCAGGCCCAGAGTTCAGCCCCCACCCTCCCAGGCCCAGAGTTCAGCCCCCTTGACCAACAGTACAAGCCTGTCATCCTAGCTACCTGGGAAGCATAAACTAGGAGGACTGAGGTCTAGGCTGACCAAAAGTAAAACCCTACTCAAAACATAACAAAAGCCAGGCACTGATGGCTCACACGTATAATCCTACTCAGGAGGCTCATATCTGAGGATAGAAGGTCAAAACCAGTCCTGCAAGTAAGTCTGGAACTCTTATCTACAATTAATCACCAAAAAGCCTTAAGTAGAGCTATGGCTCAAGTAGCAGAGCACTAGCCAAAGGCAAAAACAGCTCAGGGACAGTGTGACTATGCCCTGAGTTCAACCTCAAGAACCAGCACCAAAAACACAAAATAAAAAGATAACAAAAGCCAAGAGACAGAGGTAGGAAGGGCAAGTGGTATCCCTGACTAGCAAACATGAGGTCCTAGTTAAAACCCCAGTACTGCCAAAAAATTAAAATACAAAAAACAATGTAAGCACACATTAAAATTTAGTATATTACAATCTAGACTAATCCAGATATGAAAAGGACTACAGGATAGCCAAAGAGAGGTTTTCCCCTAGGATGAGCAAGAAGATTTAAAGTAGCTGTTCCAAGTACTTTCTGGGGAAAATCCTGATCTTCCCAGCCAAGCTAAATCTCACCCCAAAAGCAAAGGGCTTAACAGTAGCACAGATGATGCCAGCCACAGAAAAATAGGTAACACTTGAGTATTAGGAAAAGATATTATAGCTCAGTGGTAGAATGCTTGCCTAGCATAGATCTTTTTCCATATAATTAGTAATCTAAAAGTACTGTAAGAGGTAAACATTCATAAATTTTCTCTCCTTACAGTACAACTGAAAGAGGTACTAAACAAAATAAAAGAAAAAAAACCCAACGCTACCAGCTAGAGAGAGTGAGAGAGAGAGAGAAATCAACCATCCCTTCAAACCCTTGGTACCTTTGGATTCAAATCAAAAAAGCTGTAATACTTGAATCTCAGCAGCAAGGCCTCATTTTCCTTCACATCTTGCTCCATGAGAGATCTTGAGGAATCAAGCCACCTGAGCCAATCAGTAAGAACAGCAAATAAAGCACCAAAAAATTAACAAAATGCTTCTACCTCTAGTTTGATAAATTCTTCAACTGTATCTATACCTTAAAAACAAAAACAAAAAACTTACCCTTGGTTAATTTTTGCTTTATCAAGAAGAGCTTGAGGCTTGAACATTTTTGCCAAGATTTCTGGTGATGTGATTGGTTGACTGACAGCAAGTATACCAGGATTGCCTTCCGAAAGAGCACTGTCACCAAACCATGCAGAAGTTGGTGATAGGGGGCTTCCATCGTGAGCATCGTAAGTGGGAGTCATTGTTCTACTATAAAGTCCTGGGCTTGAATATATACTTCCTAAGAAGTAACAAGATAAAGAGGCCATAAGTATGAAGCACAGAATATTAGTTTTTACTAACAACATATACTACAACATAAAACACAACATAAAACACAAACTTCAGTCTGGAAGGAAAGCTTAGCACATTATTTTACCTGACTGCAAAGCATGTTTGACTAGCTCCACTTGTACAGCATTAGATCATGTCAAAAAAGCCATAAAAATATAACTAAGGTGGCAGAAATTGTGAGGAAGTCGATTCCAGGGAGTTAGAAAATAAAGGGTGTAGCTGAAGCAGACAGACCAACACTTTCTGCATTTAACTGTGGCAGGCTCACCTTTCAGAGGACCAATGTAAAGAACATCAGTGCCTATAGGAAAGGAAAGAAAGGAATTCAGAGGTAAAGGAAAGACAATATTAAGAGGACAGAAACAAAAGAATGAAAAGAAAATGGGAAAAAAGGAAAACCAGATAGTTCCTGATTGTGAATTACAAACTCAAGTTTATATATCTCAAGTGTATCTAAGAAAAGAACCTTAAGACAGGAAAGGTGACTCATGCTTTAGCCCTAACTACAGGCCAAGACCGAGAGGATCATAATTTATAGCCCATGGGCAAAAAAGTCACAAGACCCACATCTCAACGTCTATAAAGCTGAGTGTAGTGATGCATGCCAGTCATCCTAGCTATAAATATAAATAGGAGGATCACGGTCCAGACCAACACAGAAAAAAAAAAGTTCAAAAAATAACTAAAGAAACAAAAGAGCTGAGGGCATGGTTCAAGTGATGTAGTGCCTAGTTAGCAAGTGTAAGGTTCTGAATTCAAACTTATGTACTATTAATAAGAGAGAGAGAGAGAAAGAAGAACTTTATAAACTTTAAACTAAGTCTAAAGTAAAACAAGTTTTTTCCTCAATCCAAAAGAAGTTGTGTACCAGTCAAGAATATAGTGAAACGTCCATAGTATTTATCATCATTTAAAATATATTGTTTTAAGACAGCTCAATTTAAATAATTAAATCTATGTAAGTTAGGTAAACAATTTCAGAGTTAATATTTTCCCAGTGAATATCAAAACTAATTTCAATAGATTTAGAAAGTATTAACGTAAAAGGGTGGATAGGATGGTGTTCTAGAAAGAGGCTAACAAAGATACAATTTGCATTTCTTCTAGGTCTTATTTTGTTTTTAACAATTCCTTAATACAATAGGGCTAAGGCATACAGTTGAGGCTACATATAAGCTTGTAAAATTAGTATGTTTCTTCACTTAAGCAACAAAATTATGGAAATAAAATTTACTTTAAACATTAAAAAAAAAATTCAGAGTAACACTGGGTAAAAGCATCTCCCCCAATCGTAAATTCTGTTAAATTATACCTTGTTCCAGTAATCATTTCTTTTTAAAAAGCCACATAAGGATATCTTTGTAAATGGATAATGGAAAGAAACGCTTTTCCCCATTATCAAAGTGAGAAATATGCTTAAGAATCCCTCTCCTTCCAAACTTCTACTTCTATGGTGATGGAAACAATGATGGGTGAAAAATGATGGTAATGGAAGTGGTGCTGTGGCTCAAGTGGTAGAATGCTAGTCTTGAGCACAAAGAGGTTCAGGGACAGAGACCAAGCCCTTAGTTCAAGTCCCACAACTAACATCCCCTCCCAAAAAATGGTGGTAATATTACCACCCTTTCTGTAATTAACCCAACCTAGTCTACTGGGAAGAGAAGGCAAAATAAAAATCAAAGGAGGTTTACTGAATATAATTCAACTTCTTATTAGCCACAGGATGCCTGATTCAATCAACAATGTTTCTCATATGTGTTCTTCTGGCATTAGTTCTAAAACTGTAAGATGTAATGTGAATCCTTCTCAACACTAAAAGCACAACACTGGGACAGTCAGTCATGGTGACTTTCAAACTTAAACTTGTGTGATACTGCACACAAGGGCTGACATTTCTCTAGCTCAGCTTGGCAGAGGTAATTCTGCCAGTGAGTACAAAACATTACCTTCTAGCAAGAACTTGGGGATTCCAAAGTTCGTTAAGTAAATCTTTGCTAAGAAATGTCAGGACATTGAAAATTTGTTCCTAAATATGATGAGCTATAATTACTACTCAAAATGGTGTCAAGCTAGATATTAATCAGATTTCTTCATCTAAACTTCCTAACAGAGAAAATGTTTTCCTAAGTCACACACTTAATAGAACCAGACAACCACCAACTCCATTCAAGCCTCTTCCCACAAGCTGCTCTGACCTGTACTGTATCTTTCTCACTTTGTGGTTCCAATTGTTCTATAGGCAGTAACTCATTACTGCTCCCAACAACTCTATTTTTCACGTTAGAGAGATTAAAGAACTTGCTCAAGATCAAGAGCTCTGCTGAGCCAAGCCATAAATCTGCTAGCCCTGCTTGTTTGTAGTTGAACATGCTCTCCCTGTATATAATTCATTTGAGCCATTTCCAGCTAGTGTGCATCACTTATTCACAAACCCAGTACCATGTGACTAATGCAAAGTCTAGCTTTACTGCACCATGCCCAGCTTCAATGCTCATTATGAAATATTGATTTGTTCATTTTGTAACATACTCAGAAAACAATGGCTCTGTAGTGCACTAGTCAAAATTAATCAATTAAATATACTCTAATGTGATCTTGAAATACCTTAGAGGTCTCTATCCAATAAATTAGTTCAACTGATTTATTCCTATGCTGTACTTTATTTGCTAGGCTATTCTTTATTAGTATCACTCTTTCTGCTTGACTCTTTCCATCAAAGTTCTAGCAACTGGAACCTAAATGCTTAATTAACAAATTTAATTCCTTAGTTCATAAAACAATATACTGTACTAGAATGAGTAATTCTGTTTCCTGCCTAAATTTCTACAACATTCTTTTAGCATTATGTATTCCCCCTTAAATATTGGAATTATGTCCTTACTTCTTCCCTTCCTTCCTTCCCCTCTTCCTCCCTCCTTTCCTTCCTATCTTGTGTGTGTGTGTATGTATATGTGTGTTGATCCTGGGGGCTTAATCTCAGGGCTTGGGTGCTAGGGCTGTCTCTGAGCTCAAAGCTTGCTCTCTATCAGTTGAGCCACAGCTCCACTTACAGCTTTTTGCTAGTTAATGGAAGATAAGGGTCTCATGGACTTTCTCAGCCTCCTGAGGAGCTAGGATCATAGGGATGAGCCACTGGTACCTGGTGAAACCATGTTTTTGTAACCTATAAATTACCTATGAGTATTGTCTTATTTCTATGTCTTAAAATATAATCAGAACCTGAATAGTAACAGAGGTTACTTTCTTAAGTCAGGCACTGAAGACTCATGCCTATAATCTTAGCTACTCAGAAGGCTGTGATTTGAGAATTGGAGTTCAAAACCAGCCCGCTCAATAAAGTCTATGAGACTCCTATACCTAATAAATGGCTAAAAAGCCACAATGGAGCTGTAGCTCAAGTGGTAGAGCACTTGTCTTGAGGACAACACTCATATTGAGTTCAAGCTCTAGGGCTGGTGCTTGCGTGCGCACACACACACAAAGGTACTTTCCTAACCTAACTGTGCCCTAAGTTTCTTCATCCTAATAATATGAACAATAACAAAGTCTTCTTCAGAGAGTTATAGTGAGAAGTGTCCATTGGTAAAATTCATATATAGTTGTGTGCATTGCTTACACTTACCTGATATATGCCACACACTGAGTTAGATCCTGGTAATAAAAACGTTAAGAGAGAGCCCTTGTTTAGGGAACTCACAATTATTGGGAGACAATGTGCAAATACAATATTAAGTCTAATGACTGTGACCAAACGATATGTAACTGAGGCTGAAAAATTATGTAATAGGCAGTAATCTGAAAAAGCTTCTCAAGGAGTAAACCTTAGGTACTGATATGGAAGACTTATGCACTGCACTTGGGAAAAAAGAAAGAAAGAAAAAAAAAAGAACCTATGCTTCTATATTTCATAATGAGCATTAAAGCTGGGCATGGTGTAATAATCCTCAGAATGGAGGTGGGTGGCGGGGTGGGATGTGTGTGGATTATCTACTGAAAGTACTTCTAGGAGGCAAAAGGGAATAATATATTCAAAGCAAAGAGATGGTTTTAAGTAAGGTTTTAAGTTGTAGTGTACTAATTATTGGTTTTTACTGTCTACATACTAAAAAAACAAAACAATCTCCATTTCTACAATCCAAAGAGCTGAATCCAATTATAGAAGTATCCTTTTTGACTCTTCCAGCAAGAAAAATCAAGTTTCCTCTTTATTGATTTATCTATTAACACATGACAGCAACTAAATGAGTGATGATGATTTCATGATTAGAGAATGATTCTGAGGGACACTGACTACCTAACTTGACCACTGTCCCAACTAACAAGATCCATTTATCCTAAACCAAAAGACACCAGTGTGCTCCTTGATTTGTCAGATTCACCTGACCCAGGAGTGATAAGAGACCCTACTAGTTTAAGGGCCTCATCTTCTGACTTGTCATTCCTCTTGATTTGTCAGACTCACCTGACCCAGGAGTGATAAGAGGTCCTTCTAGTTCAAGGGCCTCATCTTCAGACTGGTCATCAAGTTTTTTCTTTTTTTTCTTTGTTGGGTCTCTGGGTTTCTTTAAGAGAGAAAGTTCTTCGGGGTGTCTGATATCTGTTAGAAAATACAGATTAAATTAGAAGAAATTAAACAACAATTTATATTTAGTAAATCTGTTTAATCTATTTCAAAATAAGAATTTGCCATTTCCTGCTGTGTATATCTGTATCTAAATTCTGTCAGACACTGATGGCATATGAAGATGGATGTATGGCACTTTTCAAAAAGAATCTACAGCAACAGAACATTTGCCTAGGCTGAACAAGGTCTGGGATTCAATCCGCAGCCGTGAGAAAAAAAAAAATCTACCACAAGCACGGTGTGTATGTGTGTCCTGGGGCTTTAACTCATGGCCTTGGCACTGGCCCTGAGCTTTTGCACTCAAAGCTTTGAGTCACAGCACTATTTTTAGTAGTTAACTGGACATAAAGTCTCATAGATAGTTCCTGCCTGAGCTGGCTTTGAACTGCACCACAAGCATTCTTAATTCATTTTACTAGTAAATATTAGAAGCTTTATTTATATATTAGCTTTTATCTAAGGCTAGAAGTTAAGCTTTATATTATAATATAGTCCTCATACATTTTGTATGTCATAAGGTATACATAGTACATCCAGTGAGTGTAATTTTCTTTAAGCATTTGGTCATTAGCAAATCTCAATTAATTGATTAAGGCTTTTCTATTGTGTGTTTGATAGATGCAAGTTTTTGTGGTTTCTGGGCTCTTCCCTCCTTACTCTTTTTACTATTTTCATTTGAATCTGAATCAGAGGCAAAATGGCTAAGTAAAACTGACAAAAGAAATTAAGAATGATCCCAACAAAAGGGAATTTCTTACATATTACATTACATATTACATTATGTTCATGAATTGCCAAGACTCATTAAGAAGCTGGTTATTCCCACTCTGAGCTAAAAGAGTCAGTGGGATCTCAGTCAAGCTTCTGATTTTTCTGGGTAGAACTCAACAAGGATATTGCATATTTATGTGGAAATAAAAATCATCTTAGAAAATTTAAAGCAGTATTTAAAAAGAACAAAGTTGAAGGACTTACACTAATCGACTTTAAGATATAAAAACTGTAACACTAGTGCCAGGGCACTCACTAAAGTGGCTAAATTTAGTGCATGAAGATAAATCAAATAATAAATAAAAGGGCCTCCAAATGGATCTTATAAGAACTGGTCAACAGTTTTTCACAAAGATGCCAAGTAATTAAAGGAGAAAGAAAAACCTTTTCAACAAACATTTCTCAACAATGAGAGATACATAAGGCCTTAAAGAAAAAAAAAAAACAACTGTAGGGGCTGGGAAGGTGGCTCAGTGGTAGAGCGCTTGCCTTGCATGCATGAGGCCCTGGGTTCGATTCCTCAGCATCACATAAGCAGAAAAAGCCGGAAGTGGCGCTGTGGCTCCAGTGGTAGAGTGCTTGCCTTGAGCTGAAGAGCTGAGGGACAGTATCCAGGCCGAAAGTTCAGGCCCCACAACCGACAAAAAAAAAAAAAAGAAAGAAAGAAAAAAAACTCTATAGCCCAGTGTGCAAGAATACTAATTGGATGCTAGACTAAATATAATAATAAAATAATAAACAAATAAAACAATAAAATTGAAAGAAAAAAATCAGATTTCTTAGATAACAAAAAAATTTTCCTTTATTAAAAAATTAACCAGCTTTGTCTTAGAAAAATATTAAGAAAATAAAGAAGCAATCAAATATTAGGCCAAAATATTTGCAAATATAAATGGAGAACCCACACAACTCAATAAGACCAACTTCATCAAAGATCACACTATACTCCCATCAGACGGGCCAGCATTTAAAAGACTTGCAAAACCCAGTGTTAGGTGTCAGGATACAATGGGAATGTGGAAGAGGAACTGGAACTCTATTCAACCAGTGTGAATACAAAATGAGACAATATGAGGAGAGTTCAGAGGTTTCTTATAAAGGTAAACATGTATCTACCATATAACCTAATCTTTTCCAGGTTTAACTTTAGTTAATAACACAAATGGATAGACAAAAATGTGACATTTGTAGTATCAATGAAAATGACTAGTTACAAGGAATAAAACTCATCAGTAAAAACAATAAAACCCCACCTTTGACACACGCAATAAAACAAATCTAAATAACTCATACTAATTAGAAGAAGCTAGTTGGAAAAAAGAGAATATATAATTTCATTAATGAAATTTCAGAGAATGTCAATCAATCTCTAGCACCAGACAGCAAGACAAAGCTGAGGAAATTCTATTTGCTGATTGTGGTGGTGACTGGACAGGTATAATTGAATTTACTGAAATTCAAATTGTACACTTTAAATGGCTAGTTTACTGTATGTCCATTATATCACAATTGAGTTGATTTTTTAACTGAAGACAGCTAAAAAATACAACAACAACAACAAACAAAACAAACAGAAGCACAGTAGAAAGCAGGGGGACCAGGTCTGTAATCTACCAGGATATGAGAACAGACAAGACAGCACACATCACTGCATGACTTGAAATGCAGACTGCTGAATTACTGGATCACAGCTTTATACCTGAAGTTTATATAGCTTCAGGATATACAATATCTACTAAATGTGGCTCACTGTTAAAATTCAGGAAGCCTGAGAATAAGGTTGACCATACTGCTTCATGGCTGAGAGGTAAAACTTAAGACACATGTATACTAACTCCCTGTATTCAAATCCCAGCTCCAAGTATTTATTCACTGTGTGACTGACTAGGTAAGGTACTCAGCCTGAGCTGCTGTAAAAATTAAATACACACGCCGGGCGCTGGTGGCTCACGCCTGTAATCCTAGCTACTCAGGAGGCTGAGATCTGAGGATCGAGGTTCAAAGCCAGCCCGGGCAGGAGAGACCGTGAGACTCCTATCTCCAATAAAACCACCAGAAAACCGGAAGTGGCGCTGTAGCTCAAGTGGTAGAGTGCTTGCCTTGAGCTGAAGAGCTGAGGGACAGCGCCCAAGCCCAGAGTTCAAGCCCCACGACCGACCAAAAAAAAAAAAATTAAATATACACCAACTGCTTTGTAAGTATAGGTATCCTGGGAGTCTCCCCTTGATCCATGGGAACATGTTCCAAGAACCCCAATGGAAGCTTACAATGGCAGACAATACCAAACCCTAGACATGTTACTATTTTTCTTTTTTGGGGGGGTCCGGTCGTGGGACCTGAACTCTGGGCGTGGGCGCTATCCCTCAGCTCTTCAGCTCAAGGCTAGCGCTCTACCACTTGAGCCACAGCGCCACTTCCAGCTTTTTTTCTTTTTGCTTATGTGGTGCTGAGGAATCAAACCCAGGGTTTCATGCATGCAAGGCAAGCGCTCTACCACTGAGCCACTTTCCCAGCCCCCTTACTATTTTTCTTGTACATACTTACATACCTGCTATGGGTTAACTTATAAATCAGCCACAATAAGAAATTAACAGAACAATTATAATTTTATTAGACTAAAAAAAGTGATACCAACAGTCAGCTGGGCACTGGTGGCTCGTGCTTTTAATCCTAGCTACTCAAGGGGCTGAGATCTAGGATTGAGATTCAAAGCCAGCCCTGGCAGCAAAGTCGGTGAGACTCTTATCCCCAATTAACCAGCAAAAAGCTGGAAGGGGAACTGTGGTTTAAGAGATAAAGGCTACCCTTGAGCTCAACAGCTCAGGGACAACACCCAGTCCCCAAGTCCAACACACACACACACTGATGTGAATAAGCCTCCTGCCCCAGTCCCCAAGTCCAACACACACACACACACACACACACACACACACACACACACACACACACACACACACACACACACACACACACACACACACTGATGTGAATAAGCCTCCTGCCCCTACTATCAATATTTTCACCCTTTTTGTATTGAATTGAGATGAAGTACATTCAGGCTTCTCAGTGGTAAGTCAGAATGGCCAGCAAAACTGCTCTTGCCTTTTAGGATCATTATGAAGTAAAAAAGGAGTTATTTAAATATACATTATAGTAGCTGATCTGATACCACCAACACCATTGAGTGGCTGAGGGACAAGGTACATATATACTGCATGGACTCCCTGACAAACCAATTCACCACACCAAAGGGGCACATTTAAAACTAATAAATTAATAATAATAAAATGAATAATATTTTAGGAATTTTCTATTTGTATCTTAGGACCATGCCTCACCACATGTAACTAAAACCTTGGAAAGTAAAAGCACAAATGATGTCTATTGTAATGTTTTTCTCAAATGTAAAGGAACAATCACAGTAGAACCATGAAAATAACAAAAATTTATGAGTCAATCATTTTAATACCTGTATTATATTCTACTGTGTAAATTTATCATAACTTACTCTTCTTATAATACTGTGCCCATTATAAATCTTCCAACATTTATGTATATTTTTCCTACAGCATATTTTTTGAAATTTATTACAGTGAAATTACTGCAATCAAGGTTGTAGAATTTTTAAGGCAAAAGTGGACCAAAACAGGAACTTTTATTTTTAAAAATCTTGTGCTTATTTGGAAACATCTTGTTTTAATCTTCATTTAATTCCTTCCTTCCTTTTCTCCCTCCTCCTTTCCTCTTGGTCTTGCTCCCTCGCTTCTAACCCTGCTTTTTGTTGGTTATTCTGGAGATGGGAGGCTAGAGGACTTTCTTGATCAGGCTGACTTTCAGCCACCATCCTCTGGATCACAGCCTCTTGAGTAGCTAGGATTCTAACCACTAGCACCTGGGATCGATCCACCCATTGATCCATCCATCGATCCATCCATCCATCTATCCATCCATCCACCTATCTACCTACCACATTGTTTTACATTTCTTCAACTAGTAGTGATATCTATCTACTTCTGAGTTCTTAGTCATGAATATTTCTTTTAATTTTTATCAGACTTTTAAATTTTACATATAAGGTAGCAACTACTATATACTATACTGGACTTCCTCTCCTTCTCCCTCTCTTTTGGTTGTGGAGCTTGAACTGAGGGCTCGAGTGCTGTCCCTGAGCTCCTTTTGCTCAAAGTTAGCACTCTACCATA